ATGCACTGTTCTAATAAGTAGTCAATTTTTTATGGACACAAAAAAAAATCAAAATTTTTTAAAATTAAAATAGTTTCTTTAAAATCTAAATTTGAAATATCAAATAATTACTTTGGCTGGTATAACATTCAAAAAGCGGCATATAAAACAATTGTTATAAATGAAAATGTTTATTAATGGTCAATGTAAAAAGATAACTGTCAATTGATGAAAAATGTTATGAAAGGTCGTTCTGCGATAACATAACCATGAATAATAAAAACCATATTATTGTTTTGAGATTTCAGTTTTGAATAATACGCATACAACACTGAATAATAACAAAAACATAACTATGGCCTAAGAGAATTCTTTTGACAGCAAACACAAAAATTTGGTCAGGCATAAATATTTCAATGTATTGTAAAGATATTTAAATTATTTTAACACGAAATCATGAAATTATCAAGTATTTAAGTGTTCTAATTTTAATTATTTTTATATTGTTTTAGAGGTATTAAGAAATTTTAAAATATTTATTCCGTAAATTATTTTTGGTCTGCTTTGAATCCAAATTTAGACAATTCAATATTTTCTAAAATCTTTGACAATGCTCCATATTTTGGCATTTTTTGATAAATTGCATAGTACAATTAGAATTCTTTGGAGCTGATTTCAGCAATGAATGCATTTTAGAAGTAATCTTACAATTTGCAAAAAAAAAAAAAAAAAAAAAAAAAAAAAAAAAANAAAAAAAAAAGGAAAGAAAAAAGTAAGAAATGTTTACGATGATTTTTGCTTGCTCTTCTTAAATTAGCTAATTTTATAAAGTTATTGTTAAATTTCGTTAAAAGACTTTGAAAAAGTATTGTATTAACGTACATTGAATAACTTTTAGAGATCCTAACACTGAACTAGGTAGGATTCTGAAAAAACATTTTGATGAAATTTTGGAAAAAGTGAGAGACATGATTGAAAACGGAAAAGCTTACAAAGAAGATCTAGGTGAAAAGGTAAATAAATTTTTTGTAATGTACCTTATATTATTATTTTTTTATACATTTTTAAATTTCACAAAGTAATATTTAGCTTGTTTGATTTTTTTACAATATAAATAAGCCAAAATAATTGATCAGACAACAGAATGTAATATTATAAGGGAAAGAAACCTTCTAATAAGGGGTGATTTCCCACGGGCTGTAATTTTACCCTAGAAGTCAATCGAGGTACATTTTCAACAAGGTTTCGAGACACAGTTATAGATGTTTGTGTCTTTTGCGACAGTTGTAAAATTCTTCAGCTGTAAATTCCAGTTTCACTCTAACTCCTCTCACAAATATCCCACGAGGTTTAAATCTGAGCCAACTGTCAATTTCATAAGACTGTTGGTACATTGGAAAATTCTGATAGTTACAGATCATACCATGAGGGCTGTGATAGCCCAGTTGTTATAGAGCTTCGGACATTTGCCCGGGTAACCGTGGTTCGATCCTTGACTTCGCTAAGACTCATCGAGTACATGCGATGTAAGTACTCTTAAAATCTGTGGAATCGAAAGTTCTGTGGTTGGTCGCTAAGCAGTACCAAGGGTACTGGGATCTGAAGAAAAGTTCCTTTCCCTTTAGATTTATGTCTAAATTGTTAAAGTGGTCCCACGAATGAGTGGTACTGTCATCTATCTAGGGGTTTTTGAGTTAAGTCGCACTTTCACCCCAGTGGTGCTCTCTCGTTAAACGAATGGCGCTTCTACCTGATCTAATATGGAAAGCTAATGGTTGATGAGCTTGACTTGTCCGAGTTTCATTAGAAATAAGGACAATGTCTACCATGAAAAACGCCCCAAATATGCTATCAAATTAAATTCACTGATGCCGGGTCCATTATTGTACTTACAAGTATGCTAGTAAAAAACTTAAGAGCATTTATATTTTGAAATTACTTCTATCAAACAAAGAATAACTTAGAAAATGAAACTATATCAAAATGAAGAATGTTTATCTACTGTAGCATCCTCGACTGATGGTAGATGTAGCTTTGTAGACTTCCTAGAGCAGCTAAATGTTCTAACTCACCAGTTCCAGTCTATGTAACCTTTTAGCAGCATTGCTCTCTCTAGGGTTACTTTATTGTTCTCTTCGGGACTCCTCAATTTACATATCTAAGTCCCGTGAAATGGAAAAAAAAACAGGAACACGCATTTAGTTTGTAGTGATGAGATAAAAGGTCCCCCTATCAAGGAGAAATAATGCTCATTGTTTAATTCAGAAAATGAACAAAAACATCCATTAACCTTAAATTTTCATTTTTAAGCAATAAAAGGAAAATCCTCCAGATTTGAATTATAACAATGGTATAATTATTGAATAATTGTTACATAATCATTTTCTTAATGGTATAACATTAGTATAATAAATTAATAAGAAAATTTCAAATTTATAACAAATACTAGAATTACAAATTTAAAAACCATGACTGTGCGCTCGCATGTTTTCAAACTTCATGTTAAATTTTGTTTGAAAAAGTTTCACTATTTGCCTGTGTTTTATGGTTGCATTTGAATACAAATGTGTAAGATAACAGATGCAAATTAAAGAAGAATTGAGTTATATGATTTCAAAATAGCTATTTAAAACTCTGATTAGGGTTCTGACAAAGTTCAGTAAACAACATAGATTGTGAATCATTAATAAAATCAAACACTTAAAATTAAATACTTTTTTGTATGGTAAAAGAATAATCACCCTGATGGTTTCAGTTATTTTTCTATCATAAAAATAGGTATTTAAAAATCTAACTTCCTCAGAGACATTCTATCTTTTATCAGAAAAACAATAGTGATCTGTGAAGTTACAGTCTGCTGTTAATGTCTACACTAGCTGAGCTTGATTTTACCGTTCCTTGAACATATGTCCATAAAAATGTCCAATAATATGTCCAGGTTATTTCTGAACCCAAAACAATTAGTGAAAAGTAAACGAAAATAAAGTCAATATTTGTTACGGAAATATTGGAAATTTTCTCCCGTTATATTATTTTCTTCACGTGGTAAAGTATTTTATTTTGCATTAGGCTTTTTTTTATTCATTTAGTATATTTTTTTGTTCATCTTATTTCTTTTTTTGTAGTAAGCATTGTAATTCTCTTTCCGTAAAAGTTTCTTTTTCTTTAATTTAAGTGTTCTCCAACATATCGAATGCATATTTTGAGTTTTAGACTGCACTCTGCATAGTTATAAAAAGGAATTTTAAGCTGTGCCAAAATTTTTCATTAAACTTATGTTTTAGTTTAAAACTTTGTTTTGAATTTTGTGCTTTAAAGTTCCTACGAAGAAGGATAATAAATTTGACATTTTTAGCTTAAAGAAATCGCCCAGAAACTTAAAGACATGAAAGTTGACATCAGTGATCACGCTAAAGAACTTCTGAATAAATTGAAAGATAAAGCAAAGGATTATTGGAAAAAAATCATAGATAAAATTACACCAGGAAGTGAACCATTCGCTGCCGAGTAAGTAAAAATTGGTGTCCTTTTTACACATTTTCTTTTGATGCTTAATATAAAAAGCAATTAATTGCAAAAAATAGCAGTTTAATAGTTAATATTATTGGAATTATATTTGCACTAAAATATCTATGAATTATTAAACATTTCATGTGCCCTGTAATTAAAAAAATAAGAAAACGGGTCAGTAATATTTTCAAACTTTCAATTCTCTTTCCAGAGAAGAGGACTACGCCAGAAACCTGAGAGAGAGATTCGAAGAAATTTTGGAAAAAATTAAAGATGCTATTGCGAATCGTAAGACTCTCGGAGGAAATGTGGTCGCCAAGGTATGATTCCTCATGTCTGTATTTCAAAAATATTAGCAATGCCTTTCTAGTTTAGTGTGAGAAATGAGTGCCAAAATATTAAATACTGCGAATTGATAATAACTGTGATAATAATTGTGGGTTCAAAACTATGGAAAGGCTATTGAAATCAATAATTTCGTGTTTATGACGAGACATGGATTCAATTAAAAGGAGTTTTAAGCATTCGTTTAAATTTCTTAATTACTTGATCTTGCTGATATAACCTCTATTTTTAGATTATCTGAATTAAAATTGTTTTATTCCTAAATCCAATTATAAGCAATATTTATAAGGATATCTTTTTTATCTAATTGTTTAAATTTTGGTCGAATGTTCACCCGCGTTTTTCTTCGTAAAACATAAAATTTTTCTCCATCGTTAAGAAAAGTCTCGTTCAAATATCTTATGTTTGAGGTATTTTCAGAAATTCTCTTGATTCACACAGGAAAGAAGTACTTTCGGTAATGAGAACTTTCTTCCATTTTCACTCACATAGCATAAAATATGGTTTAATAGCTCTGCGAATTAAGAAAAGCAAACAGGAGATGACTTCCTGGGAAATCTCGTGTTAGAGATCGTGAGCAAAGATCTAGCACAAGGAACTCATACTGACGTGGAATGTGCGTATATGGGGGAGATAAGCACCAACTTTTTTATTTATAAAAGTTTGAAATTAATGTTAAACTGAAAGAAATGTAACGTATAAGAAAAACAAAATTGATAAAGATATTGAGAGTTACAATATAAAAGGCACACACATATTTGAAAACTTTCATATAAAAATGATTTAACACCAAAAATATCTTGAAATATAAACATATGTCCAAGAATGTTAAAAAAAATGCTCAAAAATTAAAAAAAACATTCCATAAAGAGAAAAATAGGAAAAAATACCCAATCACATTAAAAAAAAATCACAAATCGAATGTCCTGAAACATTTTTAGGGCATTTTGAATCTTAGGACATATTTTGAAAAACCAAATATGCAATAAATGAATGAAACAATCACTCTCAATCAATCGATCGATCAATCAATCAATCAATCATAATTTTCTTTATTAGTAACAATTATAATTTACTAAAATCAGCTTGCCGAAGCCTTCTCTGACATCTCTTTTTAGAGTTTTATCGAGTAGCTTATTTAGTCTTTTCATGAATTTATTCTTACATCATTTTTTATTGTCCTTCAAATTGTGGTTTATTATTCAACATTATTTGTGCAATTATTTACTTCCTTTAAAGATGTAAAAATAATCGAATGATTACAGCTAAAAGAAATTTACCAAGAAATGAGGAAGAAATCTATTCCTTTCGGTGATAAAGTGAAGGAACTGCTCGAAGAAATGAAGGAGAAGGCAACTGGCATCTGGAAAAGAATTTTGGACAACATTAAACTCGACAAAAGTTCTGTCGAAGCTAGAGGGTAAGTTCTTTTCATCTAATCAAATGTTNGAAATATAAACATATGTCCAAGAATGTTAAAAAAAATGCTCAAAAATTAAAAAAAACATTCCATAAAGAGAAAAATAGGAAAAAATACCCAATCACATTAAAAAAAATCACAAAACGAATGTCCTGATACATTTTTAGGGCATTTTGAGCATTAGGACATATTTTGAAAAATCAAATATGCAATAAATGAATAAAACAATCACTCTCAATCAATCGATTGATCGATCAATCAATCAATCATAATTTACTTTATTAGTAACAATTATAATTTACTAAAATCAGCTTGCCGAACTCTTCTCTGACATCTCTTTTTAGAGTTTTATCGAGTAGCTCATTTAGTCTTTTCATGAATTTATTCTTACATCGTCTGCTATTGTCCATCAAATTGTGTGTCGAGTTTATTATTCAACATTATTTGTGTAATTATTTACTTCCATTAAAGATGTAAAAATAATCGAATGATTACAGCTAAAAGAAATTTACCAAGAAATGAGAAAGAAATCTATTCCTTTCGGTGACAAAGTGAAGGAACTCCTCGAAGAAATGAAGGAGAAGGCAACTGGCATCTGGAAAAGAATTTTGGACAACATTAAACTCGACAAAAGTTCTGTCGAAGCTAGAGGGTAAGTTCTTTTCATCAAATCAAATGTTTTTGATATGACTTGTAACAACCATTTTTTGTTGTTGAAAAAATAGTTTTTACTTCCTTACCTCTAGAACTGGTTCTATTGGAATTTCTTGTTTGCAAATACTCTGCCTCTAAAATCTAAGAATATACCTAAACAAACGTTTCCTAAAACTTCAAATATGATTATTTCGACCCATAATATGTGAGTTCTATTCCATTTTGTAAAGACAACAAAAAAATTACCCAAAATTAAATTTTCTCGTATTTTTTTAAATAAGTTCTTAATATTCAAAATAATGTTTTTAAGTTAAATCAGTCTTTATATTAAGGGTAAATAAATATGCAATGAAATATTAATTCATCGCATATTAATAACACATCAAGTCAGACTTTCGATGAAGGGAACCTCATAATCTGCAAGGTTTCAAAAAAATATAAAATATTTTGGTAGTTCTTTTTTTTTAAATATAACTATGTGTAAACAGTAGTGATAGATTTATATTTCTTTGGAAAAATGTTGATAATGATAAAATTATAGTTTCATTTTTAATTTTTTTCTTTTTATTTTGCATAAAATTAGTTGTTTTTATCGTTAATAGGAAAAAATATTTTAAATAGTTGCTAAAACTATACACGTGAATATTTTTCAGAACTGGTGCTGAAAATCTGAGAGAAAGATTAGAGGAATTATTGACAAAACTCAAAGAATCATTCAGGGATCGAAAACTTCCAGGAAAAGGATTTATTTCAAAGGTAATATTAAAAACTTTTATGAATAGAACTTTGAATGTTTTAATCTAACTGTTGAAAAATTATACCAATCTAAGAGATTTTTACAAAATTTTTTTCTGAAAGTCTCTAAAAAGTTCTCACTTTATGCAGCTTGATAAAAATTTTCAAGACACATTTATTTACTTACTCCTTTTTTCTACTCTATAAAATATATGAAGTTTTCAATGAATCTTTCTCCGGTGGACGTTTATGAAACAAAAACAAGCAAGCTTGATTTAATAGCAAATGCAGTTGAACGATATGAACGAGATAGCTCATGGGGAAGACAACGTGCTTCTGGACTTGGTCAATGTCAATGATGACTTCAATTCGCGTCCTCCACCTCCAACTCCAACCAACACCTCCTAGAAGAAGGAAGGCCTCAGCTCGGATCAATTTAGTAGTCCGATGTGGCGAAGTTAACTGCGTAGTAGATGAAAAATAAGAAAGATGTCATTTCGTTAGGGGTACTAAGGTGCGCAGTGGTTGAAAATACGAAATATGTCATTATGTTTGGACTACTAAAGGATATTTATGGTAATCCGTGCTGAGGCCTGCTCTTATCTAGGAGGTGTTGGCACTACTAGGCCGACTAGAGCTACCCTGTTTCCACATTTAACTAAAAGCTCTCTTAAACCTTCTTTCAAAACATTTTAGCTTCCTTAGAGCTGCTAAGGAAAACGAAGTATAAAATATATCCACTAGTGGTAGGCGGATCATGGATTAGAATCTTCTTCACGTTGTGCTAAGAAATTGGGAATTCATGCTCTTCTTTCATTGTAACACAAGTGACAGTTAGTTTCATCAAAAAGTCATTGATTTAAGAGAAAACCTTATTTAATAGTAAATGCAGTAGAATGAGATAGCTCAGGGGGGCAGACAGCTTGCTTCTGAATTTGGAGAATCTCAATGATGACTTTTCAATTCGCATACTGCTCCCAGAACGCACCAACTGCAATTACCTTGTTTCAACTATTAACTTTAAGCTTTAGTAAATCTTTTTTAAAAATGTTTAAGCTTTCTTAGACCTGCTAGGGAAAACAATGTATAAAATATTCCCTGTAGTGGTAGGTAGATAATAATTTAGAAATTGGACTAAGAAATTGGAGGTTCGTTTATTTTCTCACAATGTAACACAAATGAGAATTAGTTTCATCAAGAATTTCTCAGCTAAGGCGAATATTCGTATCTTAGTGATTGATCCAGGAGTTCAACTTTCATCTTAGTTGGTTTTAATGTTATAAGGTTACGGAGTTGTACATTGATAGATGGAAATTAGATATGTATTAGATTTTTAATACCGGTGATGAAACAAAATGAAAGGTACTCTTCTAAAAATATTGATTCATAATGAACCCTAGTATCATGCATATTTGTTGCAATTATAACAAAGTATCATATTTGAGAGATGTTACACATTAAGCACAAAGAAGCATATCAGTTAAGCAAATAACATAGTTACCGAACTGTTTTATTACAGAATGTTATAGTTCAACATACACCGAAGCACAGTTCAATTTATCATCTTGTTTTGAACTAGAAAAATGATAGTTATTATGGTTCAAATTATAACCAAGTGTTTTGAAAGTGTATTCCATACACTGTATTTTGATATATAGTTCGTTCACCAGGAGTTGGCACTTGGTTCCGCCTTCATCACATGGTATACGACGATACTATTTCTCTATTTTTGGGAGAAGGATGTGAACAATCTTGAACAAGGTTACTATGTGGCGATCGTATGACAAAAATATTTATTTCGCAATCTTTATGAAAATTTTTTCAGCATTAAATATTTCTTAAATTTGATGATATTTCGCTCTTTTGAGTGAATAGTTTGTGTCCTTTCTGAGACATTTTGCTGCAATATATTTAATTAGCTAGAGTAAGGAGAGGTATAATATCATATGATAAAGCGAAGTAGGTGACTGAAAAAGAATTCACTGTTTCAGTTTGGAGCGCATTAAGGGTTGACTCAATTTCATGAGTGGAGACGTTTCTCCTATAACTCCTTCGCTGAAATGAACTCTTCGTTTGAGGAATTGGAGTCAAGCACCAACTCCTGGTGAACGGACTATTCTCGTAAATATCACAGAATACCTCATTTTGAATGCTATAGTAAGAACCTTGCAGACAGTATAAATACTTTTAAAACCATTCAAGATGTTTAAGAACACAATATTTTTTCTTACAAATAAATATAATTCTTATTTTTAAAAAATATTGAAAAAATGATAAATTTACTTCTTAGTTGAGAGAAATCCGTGAAGAAATGAGGCAAAATAAAGTTCCCCTTGGTGGAAAGCTTAAAGAAATGATTGAGAAACTGAAAGAAAATGCCAATGGTGTTTGGCGACGAATTTTGGATAGAATTGGCCGGAATAATTCTCCCAGTAGATCAGAAGAGTAAGTAAATAACGAAATTCTAACAGAAATACCTACATTAATGTAGGTATATTTTATAAATGGTTGTTAAAGACAATCTTATAAGGAAAATTAGAAAAAAGAGGAACAAATAATTCTGATTATTTTTAAAGTCATTTAATGTTTTTTTTAAAAAAAATATCATACATTTTGTATTAGAACAGTTTTAATTGAAATTCGTGAAAAAAATCCAAAATTTTACTTTAAAATTAAAAAAAAGAAACTTTGATTTAGATTAAAAATTATAGCAAATGGTGAAATCCTTCTAGCAAAAATACATAAGAATGATTAAGGTAAGGTAGGATTTTAGAAAAATAAAATAAAAAAATTTTGAACTTGAAGCCAAAATTTTCAGTTTCACCAAAAATTAAAAAAAAAAAAATCGATTAAATTTTTAAAACAAAATGATGTATCGAAGATCAGTTGGCCTTTTGCCCTAATTCCAACTGTATCAACATGCTTTCGATAGGCTTTAAGAATCAGTTCAAAAAAGTTACACGTTTTTACTACATTGCAAAGCTTTAAAAATAAATAAGTGATAAGTTATATTTAAATTAATATTGGTATTAACTTTACTTAAGGTTGGAAAAAATATATATTTTTCTTATTCACCACTCAACTTGGTCTTTAGGTATAAGACCTTCTATGGTACGGAGAAAATGTAATACACGTTTAGTCTAAATGATTCATTCTGATTAAAAACACTGCGTATTGATGTATAGATGTATATATATATATATATAATTANATATATATAAATAAGACATTATATAAGAGATATATATAAGACAATGAAGAAAAATATTGAAAAAATATGACAGCCAAAGCTGTCGTCGGTCGTCAGGGGGTACCAGCTTCGATGTCATAAAAACAAAACTTTTTCTATCCATAAAGTCAAGATAGAAAAGTCCAAAAATAGGTTTCTCTGTACCCCAAAAGTTTTGCCATAGTCCGAGAAAAGAATGCATAAAATACAAAAAAACAAAGTAGAATACAATTTAAAATACAATTAAGATACAGAAGCATATACAGTAGAATAAAAACATGACAAATATGGAAGGAAAGTAAGAAAGAAACTTAGATTAGTAGAAAGAAACAAAAATCCAATAGTTAATATTCACGTCCGACTGCAGGACACAAATGAAATAAATAAACATAGAGACAACGCCACCTAATCTTCGCGTTTAAAAAAAATAAGAACAGCAAGTAGTAGCGTCATTAAATGAAAAACTTAACTGACGAGACTTGAACAAAAATTGAGTTTTTGGAATTTTTTCTATATTTCATAACCGTAAATTATTAAAATACTAATTATAATATTTTGCCCTCATATTAGTCTAAATTAATACAAAATAATGAAAAAGTATGGAGAATATGTGTAGTAAAAATAATTCTGCGTCAAAGGGTTACAGAGATTTGATGTTGATATCGCATGCTATTCTCGTTGCACATGTGATTTCATGAGTCGAGATGATAGCAGGCAATAGTGGACATCAGTTTGGGCATAGTTTTGTAAACAAGGAATTACTAAATTCTGCAGAATAATAAAAATAAGGAAGTGGCTTAATAATTTAATCGAAATTTTTTCGAGAGAAGAAAAAGAACGTTTCAAAGACCACTACTAGATAGTGCATTTTCTTAAGACATGACTTTTCAGATCAATTGGGCGTGCAATTTCTATAAACTCTGGTGCTATTTCTGCCAGAGGTAGTAACTTTATGCAACGATTTCTCAGAATTAATCCGTCCTAATTTCTGTCAAATTTACTCAATTGCTTTTGTGTCCTATAATAGATGTGTTCCATAAACATCATTCTGCCATTGGCATTTCTTATTGTTGCTATTTTCTATACCAACTTTGTATTAGCAAGTAGTATCATATGTGTTATAGCACCCTGTCTTTCTATCTTGTATATGCTTAATAGTATTTTATTCGTTGTTTCTATGCAATAATTCACTACATAAATGTGCTTGTTGTTGTTCCTCTATTGAAGTTTAGTCCGATGTAATACAATGGTGATGGTGAAGAGATAATTAAAGAAGAATCTATGAATTGTTAAACATTTCATGTGCCCTGTAATTAAGAAAATAAGAAAATGGGTCAGTAATATTTAAAAACTTTCTTTCCAGAGATGAGGACTACGCCAGAAATCTGAGAGAGAGATTCGAAGAAATTTTGGAAAAAATTAAAGATGCTATTGCGAATCGAAAGACACTCGGAGGAAATGTGGTGGCCAAGGTATAATAAAAACAAAGTTGATAAAGATATTGAGAGTTACAATAAATAAGGCAAACACATGTTTGAAAACTTTCCTATGAAAATGATCCAACAACAAAAATATCTTGAAATGTAAACATACATCCAAGAATGTGAGAAAAAAAATGATCAAAAAGTAAAAAAAAAGAAAAACATTTCGTAAAGAGAAAAATAGGAAAAAATACCAAATCACATTAAAAAAAATAATCACAAAATGAATGCCTGAAGCATTTTTCGGGCATTTTGAACCCTAGGACATATTTTGAAACACCAAATATGCAGTAAATGAATAAAATAATCACTGACTAGCTCAATCAATAAATCAATCAATCAACCAACCAACCAATCAGATATAATTTACTTTATTAGTAACAATTATAATTTACTGAAATCAGCTTGCAGAACTCTTCTCTGACATCTCTTTTTTAGAGCTTTATCGAGTAGCTCATTCAGTCTTTTCATGAATCTAGTTTTACATCATTTGTCCTTCAAATTGTGTATCGATTTTATTACTCAACATAATTTGTGTAATTATTTACTTCCTTTAAAGATGTAAAAATAATCTAATGATTACAGCTAAAAGAAATTTACCAAGAAATGAGAAAGAAATCTATTCCTTTCGGTGATAAAGTGAAGGAACTCCTCGAAGAAATGAAGGAGAAGGCTACTGGCATCTGGAAAAGAATTTTGGACAACATTAAACTCGACAAAAGTTCTGTCGAAGCTAGAGGGTAAGTTCTTTTCATCTAATCAAATCTTTTTGATATAACTTGTAACAACCATTTTTTGTTGTTGAAAAAATAGTTTTTACTTCCTTACCTCTAGAACTGGTTCTATTGGAATTTCTTGTTTGCAAATACTCTGCCTCTAAAATCTAAGAAAATACCTAAACAAACTTTTCGTAACACTTCAAATATGATTATTTCAACCCATAATATATGAGTTCTATTCCATTTTGTAAAGACAGCAAAAAAAATTTCCCAAAATTAAATTTTCTCGCATTTTTTAAAATAAGTTCTTAATATTCAAAATAATGTTTTCAAGTTAAATTAGTCTTTATATTAAGAGTAAATAAATATAAAATGAGATATTAATTCATCGCATATTAATAACACATTAAGCCAAACTTTTGATGAACCTCATAATTTGCAAGGGTTTATAAAAATATAAGATAAAATATTTTGGTAATTCTATTTTTTAGATATAACTATGTGTAAACAGTAGTGATTGATTTATATTTCTTTGGAAAAATGTTGATAATGAAGAAATTATTGCTTCTCTTAGAATTTTTTTATAATGCATAAAATGAGTTGTTTTTATCGTGTCTATAGGAAAAAAATATTTTAAATAGTAGCTGAAGCACATTAGAATAATACGTGAATATTTTTCAGAACTGGTGCTGAAAATCTGAGAGAAAGATTAGAAGAATTATTGACAAAACTCAAAGAATCATTCAGGGATCGAAAATTTCCAGGAAAAGGATTTATTTCAAAGGTAATATTAAAAATTTCTATTAATAGAACTTTAAATGATTTAGTATAACTGTTGNACTGGCATCTGGAAAAGAATTTTGGACAACATTAAACTCGACAAAAGTTCTGTCGAAGCTAGAGGGTAAGTTCTTTTCATCTAATCAAATGTTTTTGATATAACTTGTAACAACCATTTTTTGTTGTTGAAAAAATAGTTTTTACTTCCTTACCTCTAGAACTGGTTCTATTGGAATTTCTTGTTTGCCTCTAAAATCTAAGAATATATCTAAACAAACGTTACGTAAAACTTCGACCCATGATACATGAGTTCTATTCCATTTTGTGAAGACAACAAAAAATTAAAAATTAAATTTTCTGATATTTTTCAAATAAGTTCTTAATATTCAAAATAATGTTTTTAAGTTAAATCAGTCTTTATATTAAGGGTCAATAAATATACAATGAAATATTAATTCATCGCATATTAATAACACATTAAGACAAACCTTCGATGAAGGGAACCTCATAATCTGCAAGGTTTCATAAAAATATAAGATAAAATATTTTGGTAGTTCCATTTTCTGATATAACTATGTGTAAACATTAGTGATTGATTTATATTTCTTTGGAAAAATGTTGATAAGGAAAAAATTATTGCGTCATTTAGAATTTTTTTTTATATTGCATAAAATGAGTTGTTTTTATCGTGTCTATAAGAAAAAAATATTTTAAATAGCAGCTGGAGCACATTAGAATAATACGTATATGCTTTTCAGAACTGGTGCTGAAAATCTGAGAGAAAGATTAGAGGAATTATTGACAAAACTCAAAGAATCATTCAGGGATCGAAAATTTCCAGGAAAAGGATTTATTTCAAAGGTAATATTAAAAATTTCTATTAATAGAACTTTAAATGTTTTAGCATAACTGTTGAAAAATTATACCAATCTTTAAGAGATTTTACACAACTTTCTGTAAGTCTTTAAAAAGTTCCAACTTTTTGTAGCTCGATAAAATTTCTTAATACATCTCTCTTTATTTACTTTTTTTATTCCATAAAGTATATGAAGTTTTCAATGAAATATTCAGTTATAGACATTTATGAAACAAAGACAAGCAAACTTGATTTTATAGCAAATGCAGTTGAATGAGATGTGCGAGATAGCTCATGGGAAAGACAACTTGCTTTTGGATTTGGTGATGGTCAATGATGACTTTAATTCGTGTACTACTAGGCCGACTAGAGTTACCTTGTTTCCACTATTTACTTAAAGCTTTCTTAAACCTTCTTTCAAAACATTTAAGTTTCCTCAGAGCTGCTAAAAAATGAAGTATAAAATATCTACACTAGTTGTAGGCGGATCATGGGTAAGAATCTTCTTCACGTTGGGCTGAGAAATTGGGGATTTGTGTTTTTCTTTCATTGTGACACAAGTGCCAGTTAGTTTAATCAAAAAGTCATTGATTTATTAGAAAACTTGATTTGGGGGCAGACAGCTTGCATCTGAATTTGGTGAATCTCAATGATGACTTTTCAATTCGTATACTGCTCCCAGCACGCACCAACTGCAATTACCCTGTTTCAACTATTAACTTTAAGCTTTAGTAAATCTGTTTTCAAAATGTTTAAGCTTTCTTAGACCTGTTAGGGAAAACAATGCATAAAATATTCCCAGTAGCGGTAGGTTAAAATCTTCGTGCCTTTGGGCTAAGTAATTGGAGATTCGTTTTTTTCTCACAACGTAACACAAATGCGAGTTAATTTCATCAAGAATTTCTTAACTAAGGCGAATATTCGTCTCTTAATGTTCGATCCAGAAGTTCAACTTTCATCCTAGTTGGCTTTAATGTTATTAGGTTACGGAGTTGTACGTTGATATATGGAAATTCGATATGTATTAGATTTTTAATACAGGTGATGAAATAAAATAAAGGGTACTCTTCTAAAAATATTAATTCATAATGAACCCTAGTATCATGCACATTTGTTGCAGTTGCAATAAAGTATCATATTTGAGAGATGTTACACATTAATCACATAGAAACATGTAAATTAAGCAAATAACATAATTACCGAACTATTTTAATACAGAATGTTATGGTTCAACATAAACCGAAGCACAGTTCAATTAATCAGCTTGTTTTGCATGATAAAAAGGATCGTTATTATGGTTCAAATTATAACCGAGTTTTTTGAAAGTGTATTCCATACATTGTATTTTGATATACTCGTAAAATCACAGAATACAACATTTCGGATGCTATAGTAAGAACCTTACAGAGAGTATAAATACTTTTAAAACCATTCAAGATGTTTAAGAATACTATATTTTTTCTTGCAAAAGAATAAAATTTTTATTTTTGAAAAATATTAAAAAAATGATAAATTTACTTTTCAGTTGAGACAAATCCGTGAAGAAATGAGGCAAAATAAAATTCCCCTTGGTGGAAAGCTTAAAGAAATGATTGAGAAACTGAAGGAAAATGCCAATGGTGTTTGGCGACGAATCTTGGATAGAATTGGCCGGAAATCCTCCAGTGCATCAGAAGAGTAAGTAAATAACGAAATTCTTACAGAAATACTTACATTAATGTAAGAATATTTTATAAATGGTTGTTAAAGACGATCTTATAAGGAAAAATTTAAAAAAAGAGGAACAAATAATTCTGAATATTTTTGTCATGTAATATTTAAAAAAAACAGATATATCATACATTTTGTATTTCATTTATATTTGAGAAAAAAAATCGAAAATTTTGCTTTAAAATTTAAAAAAGAGAAACTTTGATTTAGATTAAAAATTATAGCAAATGGTGAAATCTTTCTAGCAAAAATACATAGGAATAATTAAGGTATGGCAAGATTTTAGAAAAATAAAATAACAAAATTTTGAACTTGATGCCAAAATTTTCAGTTTTACAAAAACTAAAAAAATAGATTAAATTTTTGAAAAAAAAATGATGTATGGAAGATTAGTTGACCTTTTGCCCTAATTCCAATTGTATCAACATGCCTTCGAAGGGCTTTAAAAATCAGTTTAAAAAAGTTACACGTTTTTACTACATCGCAAAGCTTTAAAACTAAATAAGTGATAAGTTACATTTAAATTAATATTGGTCTTAACTTTACTTAAAGTTGGAAAATATATATATTTTATTTATTCACCACACAACTTGGTGTATAGGTATAGGACCTTCTGTGGTATGGAGAAAATGTAATACAGGTTTAGTCTAAATGATTCTTTCTGGCTGAAAACTGCGTATTGATATATATATATATATATGTACTTTCTTATTAAGTGTATATGCTGTATTCCTCACTGGACTTCACTTGGTTCCGGATTATTAAATTACAATTGACCATGCCTTGCTCTGCTGAGCACAAATAAATCAGAATTGTACACGCCTTTCTAAACAGGCAAAAGCGTGGGCAATTGAAATTCAACGATTCCGAGTCACAAGATAGAGTACGCTAGTCCGGAGTTTTTTTTCCCTGCGTAATGCTTTCTCTCCAGGACATATAATCTCATACCATTTCTGCTGTACGTTAATGAAAGTATGAATAAAGCACAAATAATGGCACCTGGAAATTTTTTTTTCTTTATTATTACACTTAATTCACGTTGTTTTGATATATTCATGAGTAGAACACAGTATACCCTACCGTCTTTTGGATCTGCTTATTGAGTAATGAGAAGGATGTACTCCAAATGCCAAGAATGCAAGAATACCAAATGCCAAATGCCAAGAATACCAAATGCAAGATCACATCATTGCTTCTATGACGGTCACAAATGGAAACATGATATTGAGCTGAACTGAAAAAGCATTGAGCTGAACTATAGACTGAACTGAATTACTGTTGGTATCTGTACAGTATAAATAAGAGAGCATACATTAAACATTCATAGTATAAACTAGTAACTTGGTGAATGCGATTTTTCTAATCTATCTCACGTACTTATATGCTGAGTACTAACGTACAAAATACATTGAATCAATAAGAACAGTTCTTCTAAACTCAATGAATCATTTAGGCTAACCCTGTACAACAGTGCAAAATTTCAAAACTATGCATGCATTTAAAAAAAAAGTTTTACTTGAACCTTTCTGAACTGCAAACTTCTTAGGCACGTTAACGAGAACTGGGATAATTATACATTCAAAATAGTGTTGCTGATCTTAAGTAAAAATGTCTCATTTTTAGGGACCAGTTCGCAAGGAATTTGAGGACTAGGCTGAATGAAATCTTGGAGATGGTTAAAGATGGCTTCGTAACACGCACAACTATTGGTGGTCAATACCTCTACCATGTAAGAAGATTGTTAAGTTTTTCTTCTTTAATAAGTAATTAGTAATTAATAAGTAATAAGTAAGTTTAGATCTTTTTTTTTGCAGTTAGAGACAGTATGGAATGAAATGAAAGAGAAATCTATTCCTCCTGGTGAAAGAGCTATTCAACTTATCCAGGAACTAAAAAAGATGACAAACGGTGAATGGAAGGAGCTTTTGTATAAGCTTCTTCCTGATGAAGAATAAGAAGTAAGTTTTACCCAAATAAAATTTTTGGGTGAGTTTAAATTTTAATGGGTTATCATACATGTGACGTTGTATATTACACATTATCAGTTATATTAATAAGATAGCAGCTCTCAGACTGCACTCTCACGGCTTGCCTGTGGTCATCTTAAAAGCCTCTCTTTCAAAGAGGGTGTGAAAATATTCGATATCAGCATCAATCAAGAAGCTTCTACCAAATACATACCGAAATATTTGGATTTTGGGGAAATTTATTCAATTTCCCCACTTTTCATTGAATTTTTTCGAGTCAATGGTCTTTTGAACTTGATCTGACTTCACCAGACTTTAGAGAATTAGTAGCAGTAACAACATAAAATAGCAACTCATGAATTTAACATGTATAAAAAATCTATTGTTTAAAAACATGAAAAGTAGAATTAAAAAATAATAATAATTACAGTACATTATTATCAAGTTTTTAATAAAGTCGCCAAAATTCTTACAGCAAGAAGGATCACAGGTAAAGAGTCATTTGACCAATTGATTGTTTGATAGCTGGAACTGTTCCTAAATATAAAAAGATTGACCAAAATCTAGAATTTTTTGGAGATATTTTATTCAATAATCTTTCAGAAAAAACAACAAGCGAAACGAAGTAGGAATGTTGATGTTTGTAGAATCTATGAAGTTTGTAGAATCTATGAATGATCACAGTATTGGAATCCTACATCTCAAAATTATTATTTAATGTCATCTCCAGGATTCATGTCATGCCATGCTAAATCGTCATCTCTAACGTTGGAGAATGATCACGAAGTGACCATCCAAGAAATCAATATAATGATTAATTCCTTGAACATTGCATGGGTAGGCATCATATTGCATGGAGATTCCTCCATGTCTTTGAAAGAGGCGCTGTGGCTGGACTTCCAGTGCTGATGAGATCTTGAAGCCAAATATTTGTCTTTTTAGTGGACCTTATTTGGTTTTAACGGGTGACTACTTGCGGCCACTTAGAGTTAGTTTATCTTGTAGATGAATTTTTGGAAACTAAAAGTATCTGAAAAAAAGGACTGACCAGCTTTAATTGAATTGAATTGAATTGAATGTATGGTTTAATGGCACATGGACCAAAAAAGACATACTGCGCCAGGGCTGCCAACTGTCCACGCTTCATGTCCGCTCATGCTTCATTCTGGTGGTAGCTATGTTCATGTTTTAATGTATTATTTATTATTAATTAAAATTTATTTTCCACACCACTATACACGAATGATTTAAAAGTTCATATGCAAAGCCACTTTGCTCCAGCTCTTTCATAGTGAGGCTTTTAAAACGTTAGCAAAATTCACCGAATTCTCAAAACATTAGTTTTTAAATGTCTACCATTCAATAAAATATTTTGCAGAAAACGTAGTAGTTGGCATGTCTGCTGCGTCAAATTAAAAGATTTTTTGACGAGCTGATACCCAATGGAACATGTTAAGCATGCTCTGGGGTAAGCAAGTACAACGCGCAATCTCTTTGCAGAAAACATTCAGGGCCGAAAATCTACTTCGCTCTTATTGTAATCTACTACTCTATATCTTCTCTCTATATGTAATCTACTTATTGTAACAATAATTCCTAAATTGCCTTGTTTCATGCATGAAATCCCGAATAAGTATATTCATTATATATGCGATTGAAAATAAGTTGGCTGGTTGGTTCTAATGCCACTTGCCACACGGGCAAGCCTGCTTTATGAACTAATCCAGAAGACAAGGAAACTCCTGGATCAGAATCCTCCAGAGGTATTGATTTGTTATGGGAACATGGAGGACTTTTGCGACTCGACAGATTTAACGTGCATCAGTCACGGCGGGGTTCGAACCCACGAACTCTCGGACATATGCCCAGCACTCTACCAACCAGGCTATCCCGGCCTGAAGATAGGTTAGGAGAGAACCAATTTCATATTTATACATTTTTCCTCGATTCTATAGCAAATCTTTTATACCTTTCGACTTAGATGAATTCTACGCACAATCATGCGCTTGTATTATAACCGCGTGGATTTATTATTATTTTTTTGTATTATTACAATCTTAATTTCATTTAAATTCTTCTAGTAGTTTCGGAAATAATCAACGAAATCTGAAATTATTTTAATTTTGAGCATCAGCCGTGTACATTACGTGGTCATATTTTGCATGTCATAAAATTTGAAGAGAGATATTTTTGTTTTTACAGTTAGTCGTCTTCTAAGAATAGAAAATGATAAGACTAAGATACATTAAACATTTGTATGATTGAAAGATTGTTGTTTTTCTTTTAGGTGCAAAAAAGGAGGATATATTCCTTAATTGAAAGAAGAAATAAAAAAAAATTAAATAGATGCAGAATAAAAGCCTTTTTATCAACAAAAAAAAATGACCACCTTTGTAAGAAATGTGCAATGGACAATACTGTTATTTTACTTGTATTTAAATATTGTAAATTTGTATAAATAAACCTATTTTATAATTTATGAGTATCTTTTTATACCTAAAAAACCTGATTTTGAGTAAGAAAAGTTAAATTTCATTGAATGTACTAAGTACTGTAAGTGAATTTGTAGAATAAAGACAAATTGTAAACAAGAACAGAGATAAAGCTTAAAACAATATAGAAAAATGAAATGACTTTGACTTTAAAAAAAATCTGAACTCTTGCACATGCTCTTATTGTTTCGCATTTTATTATTTTCGGTATTTCAGGCATATTTTCAAGAAAAAAAATAATTGAAAAAAAGTAAGCGTATAAATGATTACATTTTAACGACATTTAAAGTGACGATTATAACATTATTTCAGTTGCACTAAAATTAAAAGTGAAGCGAAACTTTCTGTCATTTCGATATGATGTATAAAAAAAAAGGGAAGCTACTACGAATATTTTTTTTAAAGAATTGCTACCAAAATTTACTTTGTAACGCATCTTGCATTCTCTCTTTTATTAAAATTTTGACTTTCATCTTAATTTTGAAAAGCTCATTAATATTTTGAAAGTATACATTTTTGAATATCTTTATTTTTCTTTTTTTTAATGTTTTTGATCACACTAACCCCATTGTATTGAGATAGAGTAAAAAAATAATATTCATTTATTAATATATTGTTACACATAAGTATTTAATTTAAATCAAAAGAGAACTAATTTTAACCAAAATGGTAAAATAACCGGTAATAGTCTATCCATCCAATTAACAGTAAAAGTTACGGTAAAGAACACGGTTTACGGTTTTACGGTTATGAAATTTTCTACAATTAGTATGGTTTTAAAAACATGAATAAAAAAATATACTGTTTTTTAATTTTTTACAACTAGCATGGCTTGAAAACCGTAAAAAAAATCTAACTGGACACTGGAGCTACGTTTTTGTTGGGCAATGGGAATTGGAGAGTACAGAACAGAAATTTAGGAGTGCAGGACACTGGAAACTCTTTATGTGGCGAAGAAAATGGAGGAAATATTGTGATGTCCATGCTGGGGCTCGAACCTCCGTTCTGCCTGTCATGAGAGTGACAGATTAGTATTCTCGACTATAATATGCAACGAGGAACTGAGTGGCTTCATTAGGTTGACATAGTGGTTGCGATGAAATTCTGGTTGTTTGATCGTATTAGGTGAAAGCAGTTAATAAACGGTTTTTCTTATAGTTAACAGTTGGAGTACCATTTTATTTATGGTTATTTGACTGTTTTGTTTGAATAAGGCAAAAAAACAATTAAATAAATTGTTATTTAATGATTTTTTTAAGAAATTTTTAACCACATGAAATGTGTTGGAAAGACCAACTATCATATGAGAAATCTGTTTTTACTATTAATTTAGTAATCAAAATATTTATAGGTTTAATTTGGCTTCTGTTTAAAAAAAGGTATTTTGAAAATGAATATTTAAAGTCCCCTGAAAGACATGTCATATTAATCGTGTGAACAGAATATAAAAAAGAAATTGGTAAGATACATTTCACAATAAATAATTAACATTTTGAATAAATAAAACTTAGAATGTATCAAAGCACTAGTTTTTACTAACTTTTTAGCAACATAAAAATTAAATCAAATTAATAAATTTTAAAATTAAAGAAACAAAGTCATAAATATCAGGAAAAAATTGCATTCAAATTAATCAACAGAATATAATAAATTAATACTTTAATATATGATAGTGTTTATAACTTAAATACATAACGCGAAAAGCTGAAATTTGGATATGACAATAGAATGTGTATGAAATACAGAATGCAACACATAGATACACAATATTTAAGACTTATATTAAAATATGGTCACCTTATTTTTTAAAATTTCCTGATTACCCTTATAAATCAGGAAATAAATGTAGAAAAATTTTAGTATAATCTTACATAGTCCAAAAGACAAAAATTTCAAATAATATACACAGCCCTAACACAAGGCAGGATATCTTAGGAACTTTTCATTAAGTTTGCATGGTTGAAAACATTTAAAACTGGTATTATATTAAAATACGGTTTCATAATTTAAAAAAATGCCTTTTTAAACCTAGAAATATGTATAAAAATGTTTAAAAAATCTTGTATTGTCTAAAACATGCTCATGAAACAAGTTCATTTCAAATATATGTAATACTAACCTAACCATGGAATTCAATTCACACTTCTCTTGTTTTTGTCAAATGGACCTCATATTTTCTGATAATGACAATTGATATCCAAAACATTTGATGAAAAATTTAAAACAATTCTTATTTAGTTGAAACCATGCAAAAAGCCCATGTCATATTTAACGCTAACAAGCTACAGACAGTTAGCGAACTTAACTTTTTTTTTTGATTATCAATTTTTATAACGTGGAATCCAATTCAATCATCATTGAAATCCAATTCAATTATTGAATTTTATTTATTTTTCTAACGTCGAATATTTTAATATGAAACTCGGTTCCATTATAAATTGTGGGTGTCATATTTTCAGATAATATCCATACGCTTTAAAAAATATTCCAAATAATTTAAAAAAAAAATTTTTCGTTCCAAAAATATGCAAATTCCATAGCAAAAACGCGGACAGTTTGTCAACTATTCAAAAGTTTTTTTCAAAACTGAACTCCTATAAGGCTGGTTTCAGTTCAGTATGGGAGTTAAATTTTCCTTAAACACCCATACATGTTAAAATTGCTTTAAGAAATTTTACATTCTATATCATATAAGAGTAAACAGTTCGTGAACTTTTTATAAATTTTTTGTCTGCTTTGAAATTTATTTAAAATTAGTTTCCTATAAATATATGGGCGAAATATTTTTTTAAAAATACTCTTATGTTCCAAACAAGTATGGATACTATATTTTTTGAAAATATCCATCGCTAATATAAAATAGAACAGTTTGCGAATTATTTATATTTTCTTTGAAATTTTTGATTTATTTAGAACTGGCTCAATATTAAAACAGTGACATCAAAAATTCGAAGTATATCTAAAAATAAACTTGATAATTTAAAATATAAATATTATTTAGTCCAATGCATGCAAAGTCTATATCATATATAGTGCTGACATTTTTTCAACATTCCTTATTGTTGAGAAATCTTTTTATTAGATGATATATGACGGAGGAAATGAAGGATTGTAAGTTGGAATTTGTAGAAAATCAATTAAGAAATTACGAAGAAAAAACCTAAAGAAAAACGATAATATTTAATGATTTTTTTAAAAATAAAATAAAGGGCGAAAATCCCCAAGTTCTTTCTTCTTGCTACAACTATTTACGTTTTAAAATGTTTCCTCTGAATCACCTTTTATCTTCTCACATGAAATTTAACGGAAAAAATAATTCTTCTTCCTGTTTTCAAATCAATTTTATGATTTTAAAACTATTGAAAAATGATAAACATAGGGGTCTCAAAAAAAACGAAAAAAAAAAAAAACAAAAAAAAACGGGGGATTTAGAAGAAGGAAATACGAAATGAGAAAGTTACGGAATAAGGAGGTAATTTTACATATAAATCAGCAGAAATGAGGTCGGGACTTTTTTTTTAATGCTATGTCGTGTAATTATAACTAATTTAAGGTATCTGACTAGTAAGAAAATATATTTTTGGGCAAAATTTTTGAAATTAGGTTTATTATAAATTTAGTATCCCGGTAGTTTTAACTTCCTAAAAATATTTTACTTTTGTTAGTACTCCAAATATTTACAAAGCTAAAGTTGTTTTTGTGTAAGGTGATGGCAGTGGATAGACTGATGATTTCAAGTCTTTAAAGGCATTTATCTAAAAAAAAAAAAAAACCCAGATTTTTTTCATATTCTGTACCACCTAAGACACAATATCTCTTGTTATTTTTAAAATAATTGTCTGCAATTTTTCATGAGTGTTTATGACTGCAGCACGCATGTATTAAACCACAGATTTATACAGAAAAATTTAGAATTTCATATTTTATGCATGTTTTTTTTCGCAAAGAAGAGTGCGGAAAGAGTCGCTTTTTTAACTACACTGATCTCTAACTCAGTAGTAAATGCGCCTGCTTTTAAGATAATAATTTAAAACATAGTCGATAACCTTCTAAATAAAATCCTCTATGGATTTTTTGCTCTAGGTGATAGAATTTTTTTTACAGCTTTTAGCGTATATGCAAAAAAATACCTTATTTTTACCTAAAAATGGTTATTCAAATAATAATTTTTGCTAGCTTCCTTAATTTTTACACCCAATAAAATTTTTTGTATATTAAAATTCTAAATTTTTTTATAATATTTGAAAACTTATATATTTAAAGAAAAAAAGGTGTCGAAACTATTCGGATACATTCAATCAATTCTATACAAGTTTTATTGAGAGTATATTTTGATTCTAATATAACGATTTTGTTACTTAAATCATTGTGTGAAAGTGAAAAAAATTTAAGTATTATCACTGTTTTAATCGATGTTTTTATTGCGTTTCACTTCTGAAAAGTGATTTTTAAATCAGGTGCGGAAGTCGGTGATAGCGGATTGCGCTAATGGTTTTCTAAAACATGGTGGACTGCGCTGCTAACATCTTATCCCCCTTGGTCTACTGCGCTCAAGGTAACCCTTATGACCATCCCTCCTACTTCAATTATGCAGTAAAACAATTTCTGATAGAAACGTCGTCTCGCCAATATTTTTCGCCAGAAGCTAGTGCGCTGTGGGGAGGGGGGAACATGTCAATAAGTGTTCCTCCGTCTTTTGGTAATTTTCAATTCAAAGGAGTTTTTTATATGTTGTAAATTTTGATATTTCTGTAATTTTAAAATACAAACTATATTTGAACTATGAAAAAAAGTTTTTTTTGTTCATTTTAAGGCTGTTAAATCTAACTAACTGACTTCTATAAATTAGACAAAGATTTATACAAACACTCATATTTATGTAAAAATATTTAAGCTAATGATTTCACTTTCATGAAATCTATGCATTTTGCCCTAAAATTATCACTAAATAAAAATGTTGAAAAGGTTTTTAAAATGATAAGTAGTAAGTTACCGCACGAGAAGACTTCTTCTTATTAAAAAAAAAATTCAATTCAGAAGGAAAATATTTATTAATTCATGGCATAAATAATGTCCTATGCTAAATTAGTGAGAAATCTCGCGCTTCCATATAAAACTCTAAAAAATTGGCAAAAGTTTTGCTTTATTTTAAACTTTCGAAATGAAGAACTTTAAAACATAGTTCCAGAAACAGATTAAAATCGTTGTGAAGTGACATATGTGTTTAATCAAAAGTTGAATAGTAAATACTGACAAAGAGTGTGGACGATAAGTAAACAGCTGATAAGAAGCATTATCGAAAAAGGAGTATAAAAACTCATATAATAATAATGCTACCACATTAATTAAAGGCTTCAGAGCTTGTAAGTATAATTCTTAATTGCAATTTAAGAAACTTATTCGCTTAAGGAGCTTATGGTCTTGATTTAATTACTTATTTCAACTTTCCATAACTTATCTAAAATTCAACTTAGGATTCCGAATTTTTTTTCAGAAGTTTAACATAAGCTTAGATTTTATTCAAAAACAAAAATTCCTTATTTAAAGGTAAAAATAAATTGTACGAAAATCCTCTGTAAATTTAATTTCTGTGGAGCTAAGTTTTGAAAGAGAAAGCGATTTTAATGAAGTTTGCGTGCATGATAGAAGATATATATATATAT